AAAAATTATTTTTAACTTATCTTTATGTCATATTACAATGATAATTGGGTTGTTTGTCTATCTCATATTTTAATCAAGAGCTTGTTAATAATTAAACAACTACAAATATTTCACATCATAATAAATAACCACACATAATTAAAATCTTACAAATTAAACAACCACAAATGTTGAGAGGAGTAGTCATTCATGCATTTAGGATATGGCCTACCATTCATATTCTCACTCAAATAGTAGCTAACAACTAAAATTAACCCTTTAAAAGATTCGCATATAGCCTGCCTTTTTCTTTTATTTATAAGTATATAAAGTAAAAATGCTACCTCACCATTTATTTTTCACTTCACAACTTCATTAGCAGGGATATATATATTTTATTGTGTGCGTGTATATATAGGACATATTTAATGAGAAAAAAAAATTTACAAGAAAGTGTGAACTACAACATGACTCATTCATGTCAAGAATGAAAATTAAATTTTTTTTTTCTTTCTAAATAGCCAGTTATGTGCTCGAGGATAATCATTATTTGATCTTCCTATTAAAAAAAATTTATGATGGAAAAATTGCATGTGATTATTATATATATTATTTTAATCCATCATTGCAAATATAACTATGTAGAACATAAATTTTTCTTTTATATGAATTTGCCTTCTATTATGTTTTGATTATTATGCACTTCATCAATGAACAATGATTGAATTAATCAGATTATATTGTGTAAAATTATTTATACAATTATATGTCAAGAATGAATTTATTCAATTAATACGTTATTTTAAAGTTAGAGATAAAATTCATATAGAGGCACGAAGTGCCTCGGCCCCGCTAGTAGTTATAATAGTTATAGAGTATTATAGATAGTAAATGTGGTCATGCAGATATTTTGGGCCTTTAACAGTAGACACTTTTGGGCTGAGCCCAAGAGAAAACTTATACTAACACAATCCAACGGCTAGCTCAAGTTAAACATTTGTGATTAAAAAAGCGGTTACGGTCTATTTAAGTATTTATGATTAACCACCTTCCATTTCGCTCTTCTTTCCATTTTCCTTTCATCTTTTTCACCCAACACTTTGCTCCTCCAAACTCAGGTCAATTTCTAGGTTTCACTTCTTTATTTATTTTTTCATTTTAAAGTGTTTCGTTAACATGTTCAAACATTTAGCCCTTGCTATCCAATTTTTTAAAAATTAGTTTCACCTTCTCTCCTAAAAAAGCAAAGTAACGGCCTATTTCCATAAGTTTTAAGTACTTTTTTTTTTCTCTTTTGCCATTTGATTTTCACTACATGTATCACACTCTTTAAAGTTTCAAACTTGGTCATTCAATTTTTTCATTTTTACTAACATGGATTAATTAGGTTTATAATTGTTACTATGCATCCAACTACTTCCTTTTTTTTTATTTATGTTTTCTAGCTTACATTCTCTTCTATCTTTTTCTCTTTTCCTAAATTTCTTGGTAATGGTTGTGGTTATTAATATAAATTTTGATTCTAATTATTTATCAAGTGGTTCATTGTACCTTTTCTGGATTACTTTTTTTTTATTTTTATGATAAACACAAAAAGGACATGTTTATGTCGCAGAGAGCGTGGTGAAGTTGGCCTCTACGCTGAACAAGAGCATAGATCGAGCGTAACCAGATCGGATTTAGATTTGGAGGGGAAAGGTGTCGTTGTTGAGAATGGAGGCAACTTGGATCGCCATCTCCTGCAAATTATGAACGAAATTAACGAAATTAAATGTCAATAAATAATAAACAACATTTTAAATAATTAATAATTAAATTGCATAATGTCATACCTTTCGAGAATAAATTTTAATTAATTATAAAATATATCATCCATAATTTCTTTAACTTTAAAAAACTGCATAAACAAATAATAGAGTGTCAGGTATCAATATGAGAGATTTAATATTTGATGTAAATTTTTATAGGTTATGAAAAAAATTACCACAACCTCAAAAATGGAGATATCTTGTTTTGCATGAAAGTTGTTAATATGACAGATATTACTCGATCTTGCATTTTCAAGTGTCCTATTATTGTTAAAAATATGAGTTAAAATTTATTTAAATTAGGTAATAATACAACTATATTTTTATATGTACTATCCGTACTGCGAAGCCGAGCTCCAAGCTCGGCACCACAACACAAACTGACCTCGGACGTGCACCGCGTGCCGTCAGCTCGTACCCGTACCTGATTTCTTTTATCGGGTTTTACCCGTACCCGGTCAAAGCGGGTATTCCCCGTCAAAGTCGGGACGGGTTCGGGTATTACCCACGGGTACGGGTTTATTTGCCATCCTTAGCGCCAAGCTTGCAGCTAAAGCGCCAACTCCCTGCCTAGTTATCTTTGCAATCTAAATCCCACAGGTATAGCGCCTAGCCTCACAGCTAAGGCGTTGACTTTCTGTCAAGGCCCATGTGTGAAACAAAATCCCACCGCTCCAGCGCTAGCTCCACAGCTAAGGCGCCAAGTCTCTGTCAAGGTTCTTTTTGCATAAACATTTTCACAGTTGCAGCGTGGAGAGCTATAGCCATAGCACTAACTCCCTGGAGCTATTTTTGAATTCAAACTCATTCACCGCTGTAGCGGTGGTTTTGCCGCTTGAGTAGTGAAGCTTAAAATGTGGGATAAATGAGATGTTACAGTCAGTTTGGGTCAGTTTTAGAAATGATTTCCTTTCTCTACCTCTTCGTCTTTCTTTTTCTCTCATCCATCAAACCCCTTCACCTCCCATATCTCATCCCTTCTCCCTTATAATCTTCATCAAGATTTCATTTTTCCTTCATTCTCCACACTTTTGAACAAACAAGCACCTATTTTAGATGTGAATGTATAGCTAATGATTTGTTCACTTCTTGGACTGAAAAATTTGAACTTTTGGGTGTCTAAACAGCCCACATTACACATGCACGACCATTTCCTATCCTTGCATGCTAAGTGCTTGAGAAAATGTCTGAGTAAAAGGTGATTTCATGTTTTAAATTTAACTAACCCTGTGGTAGGCTGATCACATCATTGATGGCTTTATTTGAATACATGTCAGAGATTCTTGTGGAAATATTTGCTTGTTCATTGGTGGTTATGAAATAAATTTAGTGTTTCACATGTTAGAATGCTTATTGATCATTCCTTATGCCCCATGAAGAATTGTGTTTTGTTTGTATGATCAACTTGTGGATTAACTTGGTTGCAAGAATTGGTTGTCAAATTTTCAGATGGTTCGTTCAAGAGGTGGCAGTTCAGACAGAAGCTCTAAATCCACTCATAAAATCCCAGCTGAAAAAAAAAAAAAAGAAGCACCAACCGGACCACCATTTGAAGTGGCCTGGGGACAGTCCTATATTCTCTGGAGGGGGTGGAGATCAAGGAGATTAAGGTGAACAACTTCATGGTGGGGAGCAGGAGCATGAGTAGGCAATGATGAAAAGGAGAGGATGGAGGGTCGCTGTCACCCTCATTCTGAGGAAGAGGAGTTCTACTTTAATTTTATGCCATTTTAAATTCCAGTTATTTTAGTTTCTGTTTTGTTAATTGTTTGGACTATCTGGTAGTTTATATACTTTTTTGTGAATTAACAATCAACAAAAAAAAATTTGGGAAAAATTGAAAATCATTCTTGAAAGGTAGGAAATGAGATGGCTTTTAGATCAACAAAAAGCGAAAAACACATCTTTTGATTCACTTAAAAATGGTTTGTTTTGAGGCTTGCTTTGAGGTTGCACTCATCCAATTTGTTTGATCAATGAAGTTGTGAGACATTTGATTAGCATGACATGAAAGATGAGTAATTGAACATTTAGCCAAGTTGGTGAGTTAGAGAGACTAAACAATGCATCTATCAATACACTTCTACTTTAAGAGCCATCATCATAGTATATGTGTTTGCGTTGGTTGAGTCTTGAATGATTACTCTTGTGAGAAGTTTTGGATAGGATCAAGGCATTCCATTGTGCATAACTAAATTCTTCTAAAGCCTAGAGCCAAACAGTTAGCCATAATTGAATCCCTTCCTTGAAACCTGTTTGAGCCTTAACCTTCAGTCAACCTTAAGCTTATGCCAATCACCAACTCTTCACCTTGACCAAACTCTTGAGAGTATAATGAAAATGATTTGGGGATTAAGTTGGGGGAGTTGTTAAAATTGCCAAGGTTGGAGGAAAGTATTAAAATCAAGATATTGCTAGTATGAAAATGATTTGATGATCATACTTGGTATGGGAGCAGGTCAGGACTAGCTTGGAGTTGAGGTGACCGCTGCATAATGAGGAGTTTGTCCTAGTGTCAGAGTTACCTTCTTGGATAACTGTTGTGTGTGCTTGACCAGCACTAGGAGGTTATGATTTTGGAATGACTGTATATATATGATACTATATTTTGTACATAAAAACGTAGTTATTATATTTATATTTATACACTTATATGTATGAGTCATTCAATTTTTATATTCTCTTAGTTTACTAGTAATTGTGTGATTCCTCTAAGTATAGGAACCATGACGGGTTGTTACACAGGCAAACATACTAAGTCTAAAAAATGGTGCATAAATTATATATACCATACGCCTTATCCTATGATCCTATAGTTTAATATTTGGTTTTGTTTGAAGGCTCTAACAATTAATCTATGCAAAGTTTACCCATTATATAATATAATTTATGCATACTGACTCACAAACCATTTAAAAACGGGCAATCAGTAGGAATTTTTGAGAAAAAAATCACCTACTTTAGAATATCTCATCTTTTATAAGTAAAAAAAGTGAAAATATTCGAACTTCTTGTGCACCAAGATCGATCACAAAACATTTTAAATAATCATAAATAATTTTTAAATCCAGCCATCAAGAAAGGCAAAGAGATATGGAATAATAAGAACTAAAGGATGATGAAACCATCGAAGACAAGGTGATTAAAAGCAAAACGTTTCATATATTTTCTTTCTGAATGATAAATATATATATTAAAGCCATGACAGTGTGTTGTCACAATCTGATACTAGCCTTTCATAACGTGGAAACCGAAAGCACGAAATTAACATATATATATGTATACACTAACTATTGCAGATTTTTATGGCAGAAGAAGTACAATAGATATCACAAATTCCTTCGGAAATCTGTGTTAGATATGAGATGAGGTAATTGGAAGAGGTTGTGTCTCGGTGTGCTTTGGTGGAGTGGGGTCTGAACAGTCTTTGCCTTTGCCCCACACCACAGAGTACAGACCCATTGCGATAACGATGGCTCCAATGATGCTGCATGAGATGAATATAGGAAGATAAGGACATGCATTTCATGAATAATTGTGATCAATGGACCTAGCTCTTAATTATTATACGAGCAACTATCAAACTTCGAATTAAAGAAGAGGAAGAAATGAGATATATGTATACCTGCCAAGGTGAAGCTGTTCTGCAAAAAGGAATGAGCCTAGAACACAAGTTATGATCATGCAAAGGGGATTAAAGGCTGTGAAAAATACAGGGCCTTTGCTTTGCAATACCAACCCTTGCACATAATACGTAATTCCAGACGTAACTACTCCCTGTAATTTTGAAATTCATTATATGAAGAAGAAAAAAAAAAAAAAACTTGTCATTCAAGTGAATGATGGTTGCAATTTAATATACAATATTTCTTTTTCTTTATAATTTAAATTTCATATATTATCAATGCAAAATTGTTAATTATTATAAACCATCTTAAATGTAACCACAAGTGATATGCACAAAGTCACATTTGTTACAGTTTGTGAAATCTGTCTTATTAATTGAAAAAATAAACTTAAAATATAATATTTAAGTAACTATTATAAAAACGAATAATACTATCCTATATGATAATCTATAAATTAACGATGCTAAAAAAAAAGAATGCTATTTAAATCAAATTATTTTCTTTATTAATATACGAATTTAAGACTAAAATAGAATTTTGATCCATTATTTATATTTTATGTTTCAATTTGATCTTTTAAATTAAAAAAAAAATCTACTTTGATCCCTTCAAATATTTTAATTCATTAGTTAAATCGGTCTTTTTGTTGACTTTTTGTATTAACGATATTAATTTTGATTGACATAACATTTTTACAACTTGTTATATATTATTAAATTGATCAAATTAATTAAATAAATTGATGAAAAAGATTAATTTGATCTGACATAGATACTTTAATTACCAAAAGTTGACGCATAGTCAATTTATTTATTTTTTATACTATTATTTAATTATTTATTGCTATGTCATTAGCTCTTACGACAAAACATTTATAAACACTAAATTAGATTACAATCTCTTGAAAATGACTTAACCTTTAATTTATTTTCTATAAAAGAACAGAACATGTCTTTATTAAATTTTTTAACTTTAAATTTATTTATAATTAATTGTCAATATGATTTTTTACAAATTTAAAAATTTACCTTATAACATATTTTTTTATAAAAACAGATTTTACACACATTATATATGTATATATTTTTAAAAAAAAATCATTAAGATATTTTTAATCTTTTAAAATTTTGAGTAATTAAACTAAAAAAAATACTCATTTAAACTTAAAAGTTCTTTCAAAACTTTACGCTTCCCGATACTGTGATAATAAATAATTAAATAACAATATATAAATATTTATTATAATTTAAGAGTATAAATGAGTCAAAACAAGTCTAATACTTTAAAGTTTAAGCTTGCCTTATGAAAAAAAATATATCACTTAAATTCGATTCATTTATTTTAATAAATCTAATTAAAAACTTCATTTAATTTGTTTTAAAAAATATATATAAGACTTAAACTTGACTTCTTTAACTCATTTGTAACAAATATTTTATTTTTATAAAAAAAATCTTGAATCAATTTTTAACTTTATCTATTTAGTATTTAATAAATATTTTAATATTATATGATCATCTGTCAACAGATATATGTATTTCACACGTTCCATGTAGAATTCAACAGTTCTGTCTGTTAAATTATTATAATCTAATAAATTAAAAATTTATTAACTATTACAAAATAAAAGTTAAAAATTAATTTTAACACTTTCAGAAAAGTTCTCAACATTTTCATAATGAATATATTTTTTTTTGAATAAGAACTATTGACATGCAAAACATGACTTATTATTAATAACAAATATTATTAATTTAATAACCAAGCTACTTATGAATAGTTAATATCGAATTTGTAAAATATAAGTTTAACTTATTTAAATAATCAAGTAAAATATCAAATTTAATTTTTTTATTTTAATTAAACAAATGAACTTGAACAAATTTTTAATGAATCGAGCTCAAATAGTTGACAGCTCATTTTCACTCTACATCCTGATTATACTTTTAGTTAGAAGGCAAGTGGTGTAGTAGTTGAATTGAATCGAGTTTTTTTTATTGGGCCAGTAGTATTAGAGTGCACAAAGTAGTAGTTTGGACTTTAAGGCAAATACGAATTGGGCCGAAATGGGTCGAGCTACGCAGTTTACATTTTAGCGGAGGTTCATGATATATACACCTCCTTTTTTTTTATAAGTACACCTCCTTTAAAAAAAATAATTAAAATTTTAAAATATTTTTAATTTTATGTTTTAAACTTTTTAATTTTACATCCACAACATTTAATTTAGTACTTTTTTTTCACACATTTTTCCTCTTTTTTTCAATTTTTACATGTACTCCCTTATTTTTCCTTCACTCCACCTATTTTGGTAACATGTGAAAATTGAAAGAGAAAAAAAAAAGTGTGTGAATAAGAAAAAGAAAGTAGCAAATTGAAAGTTGAAAGTGTAAAATTAAATTTTTTTAAAAAAAATTATAATATTTAATTTTTTTAAAAAGGAGGTGTACTTATAAAAAAAAAAGGTGTATATATCATGAGCCTTATTTGTAAGTTGTAACGTTCTTTTTTTTTCTTTCTTTTTTCTTTTTTCTTATCACACTCTATCTTTAAACTTAGTTTTTCGAAATCTAAAAATTTTAACACATCTAAAATTTATTTTTGGAAATGTTAAAATTAATATATTCTCAAAACTAAACTTTTAAACATTTATCTATATTCCAAGAACAAAAATTTCGAAAAGAAATTTTTTTGAGGAAAAATTTACAAATAGAATCTCCCTTACTTTTGGAGTAAAACAATATTCATTGGCCTTATAAGCTTTTGCACTCAAAATATGCTGGGAGTTTAAGACAGATCAAATTTATTTGATGTAGCCACTAAATTCATCTTATTTGTGTGTTACCTTGCTTTGAAAATCTAAGATTGAAGATTAAAAAATTCATATATTGTTTTTGGTGTTGTAAACAAAAAATATTGCAACTGAGTACTAACCGTGTAGAGAGGGCCATAGAGCTTGAAGTCCCAACCTAAGGCCCATGCCCCAAGCCCAGAGTGACGAGTAGCCACCAGTGCCACCACACTAGCTTGTAAAGCACCCGATAAGCATACCAAAGAAGAGAGTGACAATTCTGCCGGATACCTTTTCAATGTTATGGACTGCAATTCACAATTTAATTAGCCACAACATATGTTATTCATCTATCTAAGTGGAACAAAGAAGAAATTAAAATCCAATTAATTAAGACGTAATTACCTGTAAAATGATGAAAGATGCCCAAGAGAAACAACCAAGGAGTAGAAAGAGGGTCCCTGAGACCCAGTGTTTGAGATCCTGAGGGGTGTGACTTACGTCTTGGTGGTGGGTTGTGTTTGGAGAATAAAATAGGTTAATTAGAGGGCCTTTGTAAAGTGTCATTAACAAAGCACCTCCAAAGGTTACCAACGTCCCAATCACTTTTGCTAGGCTTCTTACCTCCTTAAAATTTACACGTTCTAACCTGGTGCATTACATGCAAGTGGTTAAGGGCCTTGTGACCAATGATTTGCACATGCAGTAAGAAAGTGCTTGACGTACACAACTACTTGGTCCTCTTAGCAATATATGTGGAACCTTCTCATCACATTGTCATTGATTTAATTCTTGTATTTAATCTTTCATCCAAATGTATCAATAAGGATGTATATAAGATTTCATTCCCATTACAGGTGATATCATGCACCAAGTTTTGATGACAATTTTATCATCTTGGGACCAACCAAGGTGACTCATATAGGCTATTCTATTTGTGAGTGCTACTCCTTTTTCCTTAGTTTTGCACATCCAATTGCTAACCATATTTCCTACGCTAAGTTGTCCCCATCACTCAAAGTTATTGCTTTCTCTCTGGCCCACACAAATAAGCCTTCTTCATTTGAAAACACCATCATTGGAATGAGGCTATGCAGGCTAAATTAAGTGATATGGAATATAACAAAACATATTCTAACTGATTTACCTTTTAGAGTCAAGCTCATTAGCGGTAAATGGGTGAATAAAGTGAAAAGCAAGGTGATGGAGCATTGAAAGGTATAAGTTCAGGCTAGTTGCAAAGGGGTACAATCAAGTAAAAAGGTTGATTACTTTGACACCTTTTTCCCCGTAGTCAAATTAACAATTGTTCGAATTGTCTAAGGTTTAGCTGCTTCCATCAAGCATTGGTTTGTGCATCAACTAGATGTCAACATTGTTTTCTTGCATGGAGAGTTGCAAGATGTCTACGTGAAAGTGCTAAACCTTATGAGTTAAAGCAAAGTAGTAGATTATGATATGACATATATAGTATTTTTACCATGGTGCTAGTATATAAGCCACACCCAGTGCAAATCGAAATTCAAATCATTTGATAAAGAATTTCAGAAGTTATATTTTCTCTCAATTATTTTTTATGTGAACTTTATCTTATGCAAATCGAACCTTACCTTAGAATTACGGCTAGTATAAAAGTGACAGAGGGTGTGGCATTCACTACAGCAGAGGCAAACGAAGCCGACGTATATTGCATTCCCAAGAAAGTGAACCCCTGGTCAATCACTGGCCTATAATATAACATGTGATGGGATACATTATCATATAAAAAAAAAAAATTGAAAGGAGATAAATAATTGTATGCTTTTATTCTTTATTTTTTAACAGCTTGGTTTCAAATGTCGTTTTAAGTATCTTCAGTATTTTAATGATGAATGAATTTCTCTTATGCTGTTAAAAACAAATGTACTTAAAATTAGTAGAACAAAATTTTTAAGTTAGGTTCATCCAGGTGTGGATTAAAAAATTGTTTATTTAGTCTAATATCCATCACAAAGTACAAGCCAGACGAACTAATGTTCAACTTCCTTTTCTTTTTAAAATAAAAATACTTTATAATCATAATAATAACATTTTTTTTACTGAAAACAATAACACAATAATTAAAATACATATTAAACATATATAAAATAATTCTGATATTTAATGTGGTTTTAATTTCATGAACATATTCACAAATGTTTTCAACCATTAAATTATTTTGTTTATTATTATTTTTATGTAATAAGAAACTAACTCAAAACAATAGATTTAATCAAAGTCATTAAATATCTAAAGTAAATAAATAAATAGATACATAAAGTAGGCCAATGAAGTGGCTTAAATTAATATTAAGTTGAACCTAAATTTGTAGAACCCAATTAACATATTATATATTTTTTTAATTAACCAATTAAATTCAACCATTTTGACAGTCCTAATCAGTTTTGTGGAAACCAAATCGAAACTGTCTAATTCGAGAACTAGTATCTACATTGAAACGATTTGCTCAATGAATGGGAAATGTAGTTAAATCGAATCAAACTGACTAGTGTTACAAATTAAAACGAGCATGTGTTCTTCGAATTTTGTCACTTTGTCCCTCCACATTAAGATAGAGCTTGAAAACTAATTGTGTGTGTTATTTGTTACTAATACATATACGTATATATATGATTTTATTTCTATTTTTATCTTAAGTTATGTAATATATATATATATATATATATA